CTGCATTGTTGCCTATTGGGCAGTTGTCTGAAGAAGCCGCGGAAGCACGTAACAAGCATTTCCACTCATACTGCCAAAACTTCGCGCGATAATTCTCTAGAGAAAATTGTAACACGGATATTATTAATCACCTGCTTATAAGTTCAGACTCTCTCTTAAGTAGCATGAGAAACGTTAAAAGAAGAAAAATAAAGTCTTTACTAATATCTGCAAAGCCGCTTGAAGCTGATAATTCTTCAGAAAGTGAAGATGAACATTTATACGAATATGGTTAGATTCAATTGTATATCTATATTTTTTAACAATAAATATAGTTTAATTAAACATTAAAACCTTTATTTTATTTATTAATATCGTTTAGAATTGATATAGACCAAAAATAATTTTGGCCGCGTAAATCGTAAATCGTAAATCGTAAATCGTAAATCGTAAATCGTAAATCGTAAATCGTAAATCGTAAATCGTAAATCGTAAATCGTAAATCGTAAATCGTAAATCGTAAATCGTAAATCGTAAATCGTAAATCGTAAATCGTAAATCGTAAATCGTAAATCGTAAATCGTAAATCGTAAATCGTAAATCGTAAATCGTAAATCGTAAATCGTAAATCGTAAATCGTAAATCGTAAATCGTAAATCGTAAATCGTAAATCGTAAATCGTAAATCGTAAATCGTAAATCGTAAATCGTAAATCGTAAATCGTAAATCGTAAATCGTAAATCGTAAATCGTAAATCGTAAATCGTAAATCGTAAATCGTAAATTGTGTATCGTAAATCGCTGGTGCAATTTAAATCCTGGACTTTTGGATTTACAAGTCCAGACTCTGACTACATAACCACGCATTCCTCTATTTTTTATGAATAAAATTATCCTTACGTGGGAATATTGGTTAAATATGGTAACTTTAAATGCCCATTTTAATAAAAATATTAATAATTGAAACTTAAACAAAATCAATCCTACATCTTGTTTCTATGTTTGTCATTATTGTATTAGTCGTGGTTGATAGATTTTAAGATTCTATGGAACTATCCAAAAATTCAAAACTATTTAAAAACCACATCTCTCTGTCGACAAAACTCTCTCCCAACAAACAATGAAAATTTAATGATTTTAGCTGGCCAAGCTCGAACGTAAAACTAACCTTTCGTTGATATAAAGCCAAAGCAAGAAGAGCAAAACATCCGCAGAAAGAAATTACTCGCAATTCGGACTGCAACACCTCCCATTTCGAATCCTCGGAGTGTACTTTGACTTACAAGTTAATGCTACTTTTTCATCGGTAATGAACCGTCGAAAAACACGGTAGGCTAGCCGGGATACTGCAAATTTTATTATAATTAAAGACCGGACAATTTAATTTATTCTTATCAGCGAAGTAACGGTAAGAGCGGACCTTCGATTTGAATAATACATTCTGAATAAAACAAGTTATTTACTGAACTGGTCGACACAGTAGATAAGATATTGGATTTTTATCGCCCGGGCGTAACATTTGGGGCGGGCTTATTATTACATTTACATTGCAATAATTATTTTATTAAATTTTAGTTCAAATTTGGTTGGATATTATTATATAATTACAAATGATATTATTATTTATTTTTTTATTGTGTTGTGGGATAATGTTGTTGGCTTTTTCTGTTAATATATTATTGACTAATAAATATATCAACGAGGATACACCATCATTAGTTTTATGTTTAGAGTGTTCCAATATACACTCTTTATCCTAAAGTAGCAAATATACAATTATATACAATATATACAATACAAATTAATATCAATCTTCTTCATTTGAAAAATATGTTTGTATGACTGCATATTTTTCTAAATTGTCTTCAGTGAAATTACTTCTTTTAGAAGTCAATAAATCTTTAAACCTAGAAAACGATCGTTCTACGTCACAACTCGTTACAGGAGCAAATGAAAAATGTGGAACAAAATCACAATATTTTAAAGCAGTTTCATAATCGTTAAAATTGTTCAGGGAGATTTGTTTCAGAGTCTGTAAATTTGGATTTCTTTTAATAACACAATCTATTTTATGGTTAAATTTATCTTGTAAGGGCCACTTTACGTTTTTTAAGTGTAACAATGTCGATTCAAATTTTTCCATAGCAACCGATAATTGTAAGTTACGGGTTTCAAGGAATTTTATAGTTTCTGGGAGACACGAAAAATAAGTCGCAAGAAAATTTAACTCCGACTGCAAAGTTGTTTTTGTTATTAAACCTTTACACTGAGTGATAGAGAGAGCGTCCTCTGATAAGTTGGAAATAAATACTTTTAGTCTGTCGAAATGCTCCGAAAAAAAGAACACAGCCTGTAACCAAGTTCCCCATCGTGTAATAACTGGTTGTGGAGGTAGGGGGATATTCGGACATATTTCTTTATATAAAGAAACTCGGGACGGTGCTTTTAACAAAATTTTTTTAAAACAGCTAATCAACGAATTAATGTCTGGAAAGCTGTCACGGATAAACTCACAAACTCGGTGTAACGCGTGAGCAAGGCAAGTTACATGCAGCATGTTTGGAAAATGTTCTTGTAATAGTTTCCCTGTTTTCAACATTACACTTGCCGCGTCTGAAATAAACAATAAAACTTTTGAAACGTCATTATCAATTACATTGTTCAATCCACGTTTCACTATTTCATAAATCATTTCAGCGTTCACAGTTTCACGAAACACACTAGAAACTAAATACTGTTGTGAAGTATTTTCAGCACTTAATAATCCTACAACAACATTAACAACACATCTACCCTTTATGTCAGTCGTTTCATCTGCACTAACCCAAATATATTTGCTGGAAATTTTCGTTTTTATTGCCGTCATTGCTTTATCGTACTGATTTTGAATATAATGTTTTCTAATTGTGGATTCATCCGGTATTTTACGTTTAGTATATTTACAAAGAAAATTTTTGAAAATTGTATTATTTAATTTTGTTAATGGAATATTTGCAGAAACAAATGCGTTGCATAAATCTTCATAAAAGATTTTGTCTGGACATCCCTCTAAAGATTGCATGTGTTTTTGTGTTTTCACATGTTGTGTCATACTTGACTTTCCATTAAAAACTAACACCTGATCACAATTGCGGCAGTATAATTTGTTGTCATTAAAACGACGAAAACAATCAAAGTCCGATAATAAATTTTCCATATTTACGTTTCCAGTTTCTATCACTTTTCCCTTTGAACTAAACAAATATACTCATTGGAAAAATCTAGTGATATTTTTACAAGACACTTTCTTCTCAAATCTCCTGTTTATCGACTCTTTGTTATCTTTTTACATTTTGTCAACCAACAGATACCTATATAGAGTGAGCAATTGAATTAATACATACATTACAGAAATTTAACAGACATTTATTTTATTGTCTCATCGTGTATAAGTACCATAATATCCACAGGAAATAAAAACATAAATGTTTTGTTACAAAAAATCGGTATGTACGGTATCGATAAAAGCCAAAATATTCATAAATATAATATAAGGATTGACTTTATTTGAATAAAAATATCACCGGCAACTAACCGACAATGGATCGAGAAAGTATAAGACAACATATGATGGGCCTATTTGACATTCATTTTAGGCCCTCTCTACAGCGTCTTAGTCCAAACGCTCGTAGAGTCCTAATATTTGGCCCCGATGCAATTTCTCCAACAATGAATCGGGACCAGCTAAGGCTAGAAATTTCCAATTTTCTGGAGGAAATAACAAATTCGGGGGAGGCAGCTGGGGTCCTCGATCCTCATTTTAGGCAGGAGAGTAGTGTACCACGCCAAAATATTGAGGAATAGATATTTTGTAATTATATAAGAGATAATAATAAAAAAAATATCATACAGAATATCGTTTACATTACTACACCTTAAACTCGCTTATGAAAAGTTTAACATCTTCATCAAAAAAGTTATTTTTTTTTAAGGAAAATTTCTCAGGCCACAAATTAAAGGATCTGAGGTTACTAAAAACTTTTGTAAAATATCCTACATATCCTCGGCGTTGGTGAGAAGAAAACATTAAATTTGTTTAATGAAAATGATTCAAAAGACAAAGAATATAGGTACACGATAAAAAAAATCTCACTTTTTTGTATTAGTTTTAATGTCTATGTATATATCAGTACACTTTTTTTATCTTGTTTTAATAAAAAAAAGAGGTTTGTCCTGATAGTATTAGAATCTGCCGCACTGTCTGCCGTCTTAAATAGCGAACTCAGAATGAGACGCCTATGTGATTAAAACCAATTATTTGAACGCGATTAAAATGTCCGGTCTTTAATTATAATTGCTTTGAATAGATTTTTAAATAAACGAATATGTTATTTTGACAGGTAGGAGTTTTGGTAGGAGATATTTTGTTAATTCTCTTTCTAACCTTATTGGTTCCTATAATCAAATATAAACGACATTTTCTATCACCTTCAACTGTATTTTGTAAAATAACAACATTTTAGTGTTCCCTTTTATTTTTTTTTTTTTGATACGCCTATGTGAACTCCAGTGAGTCTATTTAGTTCAGTGGAGTTGACCACTCTATTTGTTTAAATGCTAATTTGCGTAGAAAATGGTCGACACCATCGCCTCCACCTCCTAACAACACAGATATATGCATGCTTTTCGAAATCATCCTGTAAAAGGGATAAGGCTTTAGGCGTATCTTCATAATTATAAATATTTTATGTGACAGAACACTCTCACCTCATACAATCAATATAAAATTTGGTATTATAAACTCCGGAAGAAATAACGTAATTTCTCTTTATTACACCCTTGACACTTCACCCTAGAGTATTGAGGGGGTTTAAAATATTAAATTATGATCCGCCAGAGTGAAATTTGTTTTCAATTAAATTTTAGTAGAATCCCTTCTTACATTCCCTCGAGTTAATTTTTATATTCTTAAAAATATGATGCGGTAAATAAGTAGCTTTATATTATACAAGTAGAATAAATTTAAAATATATCGGTACTTACAGTATATCCAATGCATGAAGTAAGTTATCCCTGAAATTAAAAAAAATATAGTTAAAATTGATTATATGAAAAATAGTACACTTGAGAGCAGTGGCGTAGATAGGGGGATCAAAGGGGTCAATGCCCCCCCCCCCCCCCCATGAATGTATTAATAAAGGGGATCTTTATCTTTTGATGTTAATTAAGTTGTGGAATAATTATTTAATGTTAATGTACTTTATTTTAATTTAATTTAAATTATAACTTTTAACATTGTATTAATATTTGATTTTGTAGTTTTACTTAAAAAAAATTAATAAAAATTGAATTAATGTAATTTTTATTTAATATCAACTTCGTGTCATCCTGTATTACTATTTTACCTTCAACCATTTGATGATCGTGCTGGTATCCCAGGTCAGTTTACCTAGAACTTTTCTAGGTGGTAGCAAGCAAATCTACGTCATTTTTTAGTTTATTGTTAAACATAACCTTCATTTCGTAAAACGCGATTTAAAATAGGTTATAATTTCCATTTTAAGTCTTATAAGCGCAACGCTGGGTAGGTGAAGCCGGTAGTACGGCTATAAACCTATGTTTGAACCCTAGGGAGCCCTAGAAACCATTTACATCAAAACTTAATGGTTTTCGAAGCTAAAAATGTAGGAAGCATTTAAAAGCCAGAATAAGTCCAATATACTAACCTGGGGATCAGCAACGAGCTAGAATCAGGATTGATCCTGGTAAAGACGGCAAAAGCACAAAAGTGACCGAGAATACAGAAGAAGCCACCAACAAAGTCGTTTTTACCAAAACTTAGGGTTGTTGAAGCAGAAAACGTTTGTGGAAAGCAAACAAAATCAGAAGAAAGTTGAAGAATAACACTTAACTCACGAGAAAGATAAAAAACAGGGGTAGCAATACTACAGTTCTGTTAACAGCAAAGAATGGTCAATAAAGGGTGTTAGTATGGAGGCAAATACAAATAATAAATCTTCCGAAAAAAAGTATGGAGAACACTGAAAAAACACCATAAAACGCATCGAATTACCGACAGGAAATGTTATCAGAACCCTGGATTTTGTACCAGCGGCAAAAGAGGCCAAGGCCCTTCATAAAAACATAGAATTAGTATCTATATTAATAATGACATGTAATTTGTAAATTTGTAAACAAAGATCTTTGAACTTGAACTTGGTATCCCAAGTAACAAAATTGCAAGTACCTTAATAGTTTCTTGAAAAGTAATAATATAATAATAATATTTATTGCTTCTAAACCTGGGTCCCAGGAATGAGTACATAAAGATTTTAAATCATAAAAACAACATTATTCATTCAGTTCAAAAGAGCGCAATTTTAATATATTCCAAATATATTCAGCAATTTTCCAAGACAAAAATTGTTATATTATGTAAAGTATGTAGCAGTGTGTTTAAATTTTCAAGGCAAGGGATATTTTGCTTCATTCTTAAGTAAATAGGACAATCAAAAAGTATGTGAAAAATAGTTTCTTTTTCATGTATATTATACACAGTACAATCTAGTTCGGTATCAATAACATAACCAATAACATTTAATGTAAATTTAATCCTAAAATGGTTGGACATACACAATTGAGCAAGAGTACGGGTATCCTGGATTATTGGTAATTTAAAGAGTAAGTATGTACTTGATTCGCAGGAGGCAGAAACATAATTATATACATTTATACCCTATCTAGTTCTATGTTCTATACAGCGATTTAAATTAAACACGGCGTTCCACAGGGATCAGTTTTGGGACCAATTCTTTTCTTAATCTATATTAACGATTTAACTAAGATTAGCATCTCCGGAAAATTTACGTTGTTCGCTGATGATACAACTCTCCTCTGGCATGGAAGGGATACGGATACTCTAAAACATACTGTGTCACATGACCTACACGTAATCAAAAACTGGTGTGACTCCAATTTTTTAAGTCTTAACACAAACAAAACAAACATATTAACTTTTAAATTTGCATATGATCAACTTCGTCTTGGCGAACAGTTGATTATAAATACACCCTGCTCCAGATTTTTAGGCCTTTACATCGATAACCAATTAAAGTTTGATGAACATGTTGCAATCTTAAACAAAAAACTGGCATCCGGGTGCTTTGCAGTTAGGGTTATTGCTAAAGAGCTGGGAAGTTTGTCAGCAAGAAATGTGTACTTTTCACTAATAGACACTCATTTAAGGTATGGTATTGTATTCTGGGGAAACTGCTCACAATATCTCCTTAACTCGGTATTTATTTTACAAAAAAGAGCTATAAGATTCCTAGCCAAATCTGATTACCGAGATCATTGCAAACCTTTATTTATCAAGTATAAAATATTGACTTTAACTAGTTTATTTATTCTAGAGACTGTTTGTATGATACACAAACAAATTTTAAATCTACCTACCCAGTCGAGACATTACAACACTAGACAAAATAATAACTTATTACTTCCGATTCCACATTCATCTCTAATTAAGAATTCAATAATCTATGAAAGTCCTAAAATATTTAATCATCTACCGGATGCCTTAAAATCAATTAGATCTCCATCATTATTTAGGAATACTATAAAAAATATATTAATAGGAAAACCATATTACAATCTGTTGGAGTTTTATAATGACGAATTTTAAAATTAGGCATTTTTTTCTGTTGATTTGTTTATATATATATATATATATATATATATATATATATATATATATATATATTCTTTTTTTTTTTTTTAATTATTGTAATCAATTTTAATATTTTTTAATAACGTGAACGTTGATATCTATTTGTTTTATTATACCATTAGTATTAAACTTTGTCCATGGAATCATGTATTCTCTCTGACAATAAAGTATATTATTATTATAAATGTTGTTTGGGTTTTATTTTAAGACAATTAATTTTTGATTTCCATATAAAAGCCAACGTTTCCATTTTCGTCCCAAGTTTTATCTATTACGTATTTATCTCATATTTAGCAATATTGATTTATTTCAATATTTATTTGTTCCTTAAATATAAATTGATTATGTATTCTTGAGCCAATTAGTCATATACATATTATGTTACTGTTTATTAACTTTTAGTATTATTCTCTCCCCTCTTTCCAAAACCAATTAAGAAATATTTCGATCATTTGTGAAACCTCGGCGTTTTTACCCCTAAGGACTAGAATATACTATAACTAGTTGCCAAGAACCGCTCGACTATGCTATAAATGGATTATCTTGTTTCCTTAATTTTATTTTTAATTATTTTTTTGTCTCTGGCGAATGGACGTTTTTTCCGGACTCCAGGACTCTTTGGCTGATGACAGCGCTGCCTTTTTCCTTTATAGTATATTGACAAAAGTAGTTAAAGACCTATCAGTTGTTATAAATGGGTCTTTAGACTAGTTGGTTGTTACACCGACTTAATTGGACATTGTATTTTTTACGAAAAACTTCTGAATTTTGTATTTCAGATAACCTTTCAACTTTTCTTTTTTGTAGTATTTGTCTAAAAAATGTAACTTTCGACTGATATTTTATTTTTTATATGTTTTATTAAAAGTTGCATTTTTAATTATTGTATATCTTGTCTTTCCAAAACCACCCTCTTTCATGAATAAAAAAAAATAAATAATGAAAATATAAATAAAACAAAAAATGCATCTGATAGGTAATACCTTGAACACTTATTTATTTAGGAGGGAACAAAACTCACAAAAATTAGTCAAGCGACCATTTCATTAATTATGTGAAAACCAACAGCTCCCAAAGTACAAAAGGGCTTTAAAAGAACTATCTAGCATACATACAAATGATATATAACAAATTTTTACAGTGTTGCCAATATTAGGGTTTGGTAAGACCGATTCAACATCAAAAATAACTCATGTATATAAATTATATATACAAATGGAAGACTGCGCCGCCTGGTGTCAGATGCGTTGAACTAAAATAATATAAGAAACGATGTTGGTCCGATTTTTGAGACCCAGCTGAAATTTTGTCCGGGAGTTCCTACCACATAGGTCTATCTCAACAGCATTAAGAGCTTTCTCAAACCCGCAAGTGGGTCTGGTAAGGCAATTTGGGTCTGGTTAGTTAGTAATTTTTAATTTTGCCCACTAAGAAGAAAGTCATTCTTGGACCGGTCTCGTCCTTATTAGGACTAGAATTATTTCCTTTTTTAAGAATAGCTCCCCTGGCGTTTATTACACCTAGGTACTACAGCGACCTTTGATTTTGCTTACTAAGTATAGATGGTGGTACCACTTTCGCTCGTTGAATATCTACTCATGCTGAACCCGCCGTAATTGAGTTCGATCAAAATTGGTATTGCAATCAGACTCCATTAGAGACTGGAGTCGAGAATTTCTATTTATTGCTGAAAAGTCCTAATAATAATAGTGGGCAAAATCATGGCGATATTTACTCCGAAAACACTTGAATTCTATCTAAACTAAATAATCCTTCTGATTTAATAAAAATCATAACAATATTTAAGTATATTTATATATACATGAAATTTTCGATAACCTCCAATTGTGAAAGCTGTCTACGCCACTGCTAGAGAGTTTTTAAAATACCGAAAACACCTTAATTCCGAAAATACCTTAATAAAATTGTTCTGGTACTTTACTACATAATCTGCTTTTAATAAGCTTAAATTCATCAAAATGTTTATCAAGCCAATCAAATTTGTTGAATATAACATTGAAGGATGATTACAAAATAAATTTCTTCCTCAAGGAATTTCCTGCAGCCTCACAGCTTTTCTCCTCGAGACAGTTACAAATAGCACATATTTGAGAAACAAGGACAACCTACTTATAGGAAACTGGTTAGGACGCTCCTGATTTTCCGTTCCCCAAGTCCTCCAACTGTTCCTAGAGCGTTTCAATTTTATGTAAACATCTTAATTCTTGTGATCGCTCAAACCCAGAAGAATGATTGTGCATCTTCGTTGCTACGGACATTTTCATTTTGATGAGTTGTTCTACCAATCATAAACGTAAATGATTAGATTCATAATTGGTCGCTT